AGGTGACCGTTTTTCTTTGTCTTCACAGGGTTCCTGGAGACATCGACGAAGTATGTACCTGCGTCACTTCTGAAACTTTGGTTCAGGGAGCTTCACGAACCTCTTATACCGGAACTGTTTTAATATCCTTTGAAATGAAATTAATTTCGCAGTGTTAAGTGCGCTGAGTCTTTAGTCTGATGCACCAACAGTGATTGTGGTCACGTGGGAAGTAGCACGCTGGACATTGAATCGAGAGATCTGGGTTCGAGCTTTGGCTAGTCATGGGTTATTGTATTGTGGGGTAATTGTATTATCGAATGAGTTGATAATGTAAATTGGCCGCCGTTAAGAGTTTCAAAGCTGACATTTCGAGGGTTAGCCCTTTGTCAGAGCGAAACTGAAGGATTAATGCTCAATAGGTTAGCTTTGAAACTCTTAACGGCGGCCAATTTATGTTATCAACTCAAGTGACAAAGTTAAATTACCTTACACTCACACCGACACAGCACTACAGTTTCTTTAGAAACTTACGCCTTTTTATTAATTATATTGTGGTCTTGAACAAGGCGATATACATTTATTATTAATGCCTGTTGCACGTCATGTTTCCTTGACTCGTTCCTACTGAAAGGTGCGTTAACAACTGTGATGACGCTACAGTGGCTGTGGCACTTGCGATGTCTCTTCCTGAAGTCAACAGACTCGTCCTCTCGTATCTCATTAGATTTTTACAGGTACGCATGTGTAGAGCCTCTCTAGACTCACTATTCTCTTTGGTTAATTTACGCTGATTTGCTAACCGCTGTGCACAATAGTTAAGTTATTACCTAAGATCATTTACCGAGCAAAATGTGGGGAAAGAATTGTACTCTCCTCTTATTTGGGAAATAAGGTAATTTATCGGGTGCTCTGTGATCAAGGGTGACAAACGATCGAGACCACGACTGTAGCGCTGCTGCATACATGGAGTCTCTTTGTTTTCACTTGTTGGGTTTTTTTTTTTAATTCGAATTTCGAAGTTCGAAGGCTGGGCGTCCTAATCCTTAACACCGTTAACACTTGCATAGTTGAAAACATTTTTTTTTGGAAAACTTTCAGCTTCCTTTGTTGTTTGCAGATTTTCTCACTCCCTCATATGTGCGTTATAACAAAGATGGACGTAAATAACTTGGCCATGGTTTGGGCGCCAAACTGCCTTCGTTGTCCCTCTGACGATCCCAAGGAAATTTTTGAAAATACGCGAAAAGAGATGACTTTTATGAGAACTCTTATTCGGCATCTTGACGCAACTTTCATGGAAGGAGTGCGTTAACACACAAAAACAACAGTTCGTAGTGCCAGTCCTTGACTGTGGGACACCGAGACCAAGATCACACGTGACAACGAAAAGTCTGACAACTGAATGAGCCTGCGGCTTTATTTCGCAACGTTGCTATGCAACGCAAGGTATTGGAATCCGACCTCGCGTCAGGGTGTTCAATAGCGTCCGTCAAGAAGAAACGGAACTCCTCGAATGCCCTTACTGAGATTTACCAGAACTCATGGCTCGATTGTTCGACTTGTCAAACTGGTGCTCAGCATTGATACGATTCGTCTGGCTGGGAAGTTTGCGCATGAAAATTTTGTTGACTCAATTGAACTCAAATTCAAAGGCAGAAAAGGTCAAAATTTACCTAGGTCCGTTAGCTAAAAAAACACAACAGAAAACAATAAAACAAAAATGAAAAGAAAATAAGAAGGATCTACAGAACTGCAAACTAAAGAACACACAGCAAGAGGTTATCTTTCCATTAAGCAAATTGAAGTGTCTAAATTATAGCAAACGTAATCTTCTGTTGTTAGTCGAAAACATCGCGGTAGCTTATGTGAAGAGGCGAAGTAAGCATTGTATATATCAATAAAACTCTAAGTATTGTATAAGATTATTGATGGAACACATGTATTTTTAATTTGTTTTCAGTGTCTTGGGTGCGGGGTGTGGAGGCTTGAGGGTACTCTTAATTGTGTGCGATACGTATGTTTCCGTGATGTCAAACCGGTTATATTTCCTAGAGCAATTGCACAATTTTACTTACTTCAGTGATGAGTTCAATGCCTTTCCGGATAAACTCTGAATGTTATCACATGAGAAGTGGTTCATGAGAAACTTGTATGTTTTTTTGTATGATCTCAGGGTTGGGGTTACATATTACATTTGAACCTGAATTAAGCGGTCACTCTGTTTTAAGCGGTCGGTTGTCAGAGCCCCGAAATTGTTACCCCTCATTTACTGTAATTTTCATCTCTACTAAGCGGTCACCTCTATGAGCGGTCGCTCATAAATACATTAAATGGTCATTCATGACATTAAATAGCGATATTTATCGGTTTCCTTAAATTTTCCCCTTTGTGGAACCTGTATCGAGCGGTCAAGTTGTATTTAGCGGTCACCACGCCTAAATACGGGTTCTACTGTAAATGCTTTAAGAATAAATGCCATCGGCATGTGAAAACACTTATTTATTCAATTTTAAAAATTAAAGGATGGCCATCTTTTCGACTAGACACAGTTTAACACTTAGCCACTTAGGCGCGCGGTCGGTTCTTTTGAAATAAAAAATAAGTTGTCTTTTATGTAGGAATTTCATCAGTATCTATAAAATAAAAAGAACATAACATGGCCGCTTAGGGATACGAATTTTATCTTCGAGTGCTGAAAGTATCTCTCACGAGTGAGCTTCGCTCACTTGAGAGATGATGAATGAGAGATACTTTCAGCACTCGAAGATAAAATTCGTATCCCCAAGCGGCCATGTAATATCCTCTATATCTGTATGTAACAACGAAAATTTGCAATGCAAACGCACGAAGCATACTGCTAAATACGATAATTGACAGAGTGCAAGGTTTCCACCAAAGCTGTTTTGTTAATATCTAGTCTAAAGTGTAGAATGTTTTGTTTAATTTAAAAACACGAAAAAGAGAGTAATTTTTCATTCTCAACTTTGGTTTCAGTTTTGCCTTCCAGTTAAGAGATATGTTTCACCTCTAAAAACAAATAGAAAGGCTGAATGGAAAAAATACTTGCGAGAATGTAATTCAAAATATATTCGAATATAAACACGGATACAAGATATAAACTCAATTCACTTTGTATTTCGGATTACGTAACTTCGTGAATTGTTTTCCACAGAATTACCGGTGTATTTTTAATGCAAATAAAACGAAAAGCTATGCTTTCTTCATTCATGCTGGAAGTTAAATTATAAACAATTCATTTTTTACCACCTGTATTATTTTATGGCCAGTCTTTTTAATGACGTTTTATATTTGTTTTGATAGTATTTTGATTTTCGTTTATTGAAATTCTCAGGAGAGTGACCGAGAGCTCAGCGGCGGTTTAGTTAGAATAGGGAATTCGAATTATTTCTTGGCGCAATTCACTTAATTTGCTTACTTTAAACAAAGCGATTCTGTTCCAACGAGTTTCTCAGGCAGAAAAATCTTGATCCCCAAGTTTGTTGAAAACTACAACTGGCAGAAGGTTAGGAGACTGACAAGGCAAACGGCACTGGTTTGCGAATTCGCGATCTACTGCGATATTACATAAATCCGTTACTGATGATCAGGCTTTTCCTTTGATTTCACTTTGTGTGTTTTATTGTATTAACAGATCCCTTCCACACCATTGACAACCTCCGTTTCAAAACTACAAGCAGTAAAAATGGGCCTTCAACGCTTAAAGTTATGCTTAATTTTATTGAGAACGCAATATATGTTAAAACTAGGTTTTCTTTTCACTTTCCTACTCAAATGTATCCATCGATTTCCTTTGCGAAAATTTTCAAACCGCTTTTACAAATGTAAAGCATTAGAGTTTACAGCGATAGATGAGGCGAGTCAGCAAATAGCGGGTATATAGTTAAAGTGCACTTTTCAGTTTTTTTTTAAATGAGTCCAAAACACTTGAGCTTTCCAAGGGTGTGGTATCCCTTTTCAGAATCATCATAAGTATCTCCAAACCTCAGTTGCTTCACAGGAAGCTTTGTCTTGTCTGTAAGGAAGCCGCTGTCTTCTCGCCCTTTGTTGTCATTTACGTCACAGTTGCATCCGTAGTTAATGTCTGCACATGTATTATTCAAGCCGCATGCGCATTTATAATCAACAGAATCAACTCCTCCCCAGTACTTCATCTTCTCTCCATCACGTGACACCCACCAGCCGTACATGTTACCATTGTAGAGGAGCACTGAGCCGTAGCACTCGTACTTTACAAACTGCTCACAGTGAGCTGATGAAGCTGTTAGGTTCGCAAGTTGAGCCATATCAGCCTCCGTGTAGTTGATGGAGCGAGAATAGTGGCCTTGGCTACCAAATCCATCCACCAGCATTCTGCTTTCACTGTCGTGACTGACAACTGTCACTCCTATCCCGTCCTTGTCAGTCATGTCACAGAAGACTTTAAATGGTTTCACTCCGCCCTTTCCATCAGGGTCGATGACATAAGAGCCATTTTTAGCCTCAGGATTGCAGTATTTGATGTCACTACAAGTTCGATTTCCTAAAAAACAAATAACGAAGAACATATTAAGAAATTTAGAAGTAAAAGATTTCATTTATCTTAATATAATAATATGCCTGACATGTACACGAAATTATATTTTTTGCATTTTCTGATAGCTGCGTTTAAAAGTAGAAATAATCAACCTTTGCGCCTAGCAAGTTCTCCTTGACAATTTTTTTGCGCTTTGAAATTACGATTTGTCGGCCAAAAAGTGTTCTCATTAAGCGCGTGGCCAAAACGATCACGTTACATAGCTGTGACGTAGAAAACTGTGAAGATACGTCGGCAATTATTGTAAAGAAAGGAGAAATCTATAAGAAAGGACGAACGCATTGCGTGGCTGGAGCACTAAAAGATTTTTGCTACAAGAATAATACACATATACCGTGTATTTCTATACACTAATTTCCAAAGGATGTAGTTGCATGGCAAAAATGGACGCTCCTCGATCGTCTACATCGAGGAGATTTTACTCTTCAATGTCGTCGGCCTTATGCCCCGTGCCGGCTTCGAAAACGGCTGTTACGAACACATACCACTTGTTAAATCAGGGGAAGATAGCCAATAAATTTAGCTAAAAATAATGCCTGTTCCCACACCGCACACGATTGTTCAACATTCTTTTCGGCTGCAAGCGAAGAATGGTGAGCTCCTTATTGTTTTTTTATTTCACGTGCTTGAGATGTACTCATACTCCTTGTCTTTTCACAGGACTACATTTACACTTTTCTAATCGTGGGAAAATCCTACTAATTGTATTTTCATCGTATTTTAATAACAGAAATATATTATTTGTAAGCAAGTTCAAGCCCTTTCCTGAGCTGACCGATATCCTGTTGCCTGAGCAGTGAGAAACCTCTGGCGCGGATACTGGTATAAACACAAGCTCGAAAGGGCTGTGTATTCTTCTAACCTAGGTTTCCGACGAGATAAATAAATAAACACAAATATAATTGAATTGGATGGTAGCGAATCCAAGCGCTGTACGAAAGTCGATGCATACGAAATATTTATTTACAACACAAATGTCAGTTATTTGCCATTGAGCGAAATGGATCACATGGCAATGCTGCGCTTAAACTAAATGAGTTTTCCTCTATTGAAATCCCTATTTGAGATTGACTTAAATCTATATAAACTCACTATTTCCCTTTTGATCGGCTCGAGGACGATAGCCTCTGCCTCAGCAATCTCTAAGGAAAGAAGCAACTTGCAGTGAAACTGCCTGATGACTTCTCGGCGGAAAGTCATCGTGCCTCATAGTACAGCTGATTCTTTCGTCAAAAGTTAGCTTTTAGTTTGCTAAGGGAATTACTCTACAGCAACGAAACACTTGAGCACTGAGCAAGGAGAACCTTCGCCCCACTAAGTGCAAAGGAATAAAATTTTAAGACGACCAAAACGGACACAGCTACCTATTTTTAAAATGGATTTCGCCGTAGAAAACAAAGCGCCAAACGCAACAACTAAACATTCAGTATCGGGAGTTTTTTTGTTCTCGTCTTGACCTAAACACCGCAGGCGAGAAACCATTTTGTCAGTCTTCGTCTAAATCTTCGTTTGATACACATGGTTCTCCTTCGTAGGGCTGAACCGTTCTCGCAACTTCCAATTTTTTCTTTACTAATTGGGTACGAAGTATCAACTCTTGGTAGAGCTTGGTGAAGGTAGGTATACATCGCTATCGGACAGTATTTCAACGCTGACTGATACAAAATTACAAGAAAAGTGAGAGATTTGCAAGTGTCCACTGAGAGCTTTCACAGTTTTCTACGTCATAACCCGCTAATTCGTTACCAGTCCACGGGACACTTTTAAAACAAAACAAGAGCACTTTTAAGCCCGAAAAACCGAGTTTGAAGTTATTTGAAATTTTGTTTTTTATCGGAATTGGTTTGAACATACGATAAGCTAAATATTTATGCAAAAAAAAATTATTGTCATAGGCGCTTTAAAGGAAAAGCCAAATAAGGTATGTTTATCGGGAAGGCAGTAAAAAAGAATAAAGAGGTAGCGTTAACCCAGATTGGTATCGATTGGTATCGCCCTCACGAAGGGCTAACGCTCGAAACGTCAGCTTTTTTACCCTTTACGGTGGCTAATTTACGTTTTCAACTCAGTTGTTAACACTAAATTACCTGCTAGGAGGTTTGATGATTCGAATGCATTTAATTTTATAGCACTAGGTTGAACATAGGTAAACCATCAATTTATAACAGGTGATTGAGAATAACAGTATGAGTTTTAAACGGTTAAGAATACATGAAAGTCATACATTTGAACTGCGGGTAAAGACGTGAATGAAAGTGATCACAAGTATGAGTTTTTTTTCAGTTCTTCATGCAACAGAAAGTAGGATAGATTCAATACCTTCCCTTTCGC